CCTAGACGCCTGCTTGGCCTCACTCTAGTCCCAGCCCTGCTCCAGAGAGTAGGCTGCATATAAATTATTTTAATTTTGGTTTAGCATAATCACATGCATGCTTGGATGTTTTATAAAAAATTAATGACAAAATGAAAATAATGTAGCCAAACCCAAATTTATGTTATCCAGAAGAAAAGTTAGCTATTTGAAAAAGATAACATTATCATTCTATTCTTGCATGTTCAGTAATTGTCAGCTTCAGAAATTTCAGTTCAGTAGAATCTTGTCTCACTCTGAAATGTGCTTGGTTGTTTTATCTCTTGGCAGCTACCTGAAATCTATCATAAGCTTCTTCATTTGATATATAGTACATTCAGCTCTTAAACTTACGGATATCATTGAAGTAATAAGTAGTGACTCGAGTTTTACTACATTTTTATTAATAATTTTAGAATTCTTTGAGAATTTGCCTATGATTTTTCTTTTTTTTTTTGAGTGCTACATCTGGAAATGCTCAAAAGTTGTTTGCCTTTTTAAGAGAACAGTTTGCAGTGAAAGTATAACTTCTTTAGAGGTGAGGTTCAAGTTAACGAATGATGAACCATAATATGAGGAAGCATAATATTGTGAATTATTATTTGGCAAACATAACTAATGCAGGCATTAGCTGCTGAAGCCATTAATAAAGTACCATGTGTAGAAAGCTGGAGAGATAGGTAACAGAACTTTCTCTGTAAACTCTCACAATGTAAACTAGAGTACAACTTAGTTTATTCAATAAGGACGGAATTCTTTAAGTCTGATATGTTTGTAGGTTCCATGATTAATGTGTAACTAGAATATGAAAATGAGTATTTAGGGTCCGCTGAAATTTGTAGATGTGACATCATTGTCAAGTCAGGCATTTTATTTCTTAAAGTTAGAATTTATTTAAATGCACCTTTTTTTTTCCAAAATAAATTTTTATTTCTACTTAACAGTGGTGCCAAAGTAAGTTTTCCTACATAGAATTATTTAATATTTAGGTCTGTTGATACTGTTTAAAAAAAAAAAACATAAACCCATAACAACCAAGGGTGAAGGAGTATCTAGATTTGTTTTTAGCTTTCTTTTTCATGGTTTCTCAGAAGTGTGTCATATTATAAATATGTTCAAAATGTTTTGCTCTGAGGATATGTAGCATTCCTATAAAGGTTAAATCAATAAAAATGATTTGGACACATTCCTAAGCATGGCTAGAACAGGTAGTCCGTTGTTTTAGGTACCCTTGAGTTCCTGGAGCAGATCATTATGGCGTAGCAAAAGAACTTACTAAAAGTTGCTTTCTATGTGTAGATGCATCAGCTTAAAAAAAGTAAGATTTTCTGACCTTCTAGAAATGAATATTTTTAAAGTAGCCCTGTGTATATTGATTTATCGATGTGTTTTAAACTCAGTTAAAGTTTTGAAGACTTTTTTTTTCTTCGAATGCTGAAGATACACCATAATTGATAAGGAAGAGGTACGTACAGGAAAAATGCAATGGGCAAGCCTTTCCAGCCAGTTAGAATAAATGGTACTCTTATGATTAAAGAAAGTGTCACACATTATAATTGCAAAATTAAGAATTAGACTTTTTTTTTATTTTATTTTATTTTTTTTTGGTTTTGCCAGTTTAGAAGAAAATTCTGTAGTCACTGGGATGTTATCTGTTCATTTGAGCAGTTCAAAAGACGAGCATGTATTTAAAAGCATTTGACTTAAGCATGTATTTAAAACATGTATTTCTGTTGTGATTAGGGTTGGCTTTTTAGTTTGGTACTGTTGCTAGGTGGAGTTTTATTTCATCCGTGTGTTCGTTCTTGTTCATTTAATATGTTTGAGTATGTAAGTGTATTTAGGTTTATATGTAAGTTTTCAGATCACGTTATTTTCACAGCTACTTTAAAAAAAATATCTGTCAGCTTATAATAGTAATATGATGATTTTTCTTAAAGTTTCCTTTAAAACAGCTTTGAGGGTATTGGATTTTTTTTGGATAATGGAAATGCAATGAATTGATCATGTATTTGGCTGATTAAGGTTTAAATCAAGGTGGCAAATTTGAGTTACATATATTAATGTAGTTTCATTATAGAAAATCTCTTCTTATCATTTTGTACATGTAATATATAATTACTTTGTAAATAAATACCTTATGAAAAATATTTTGTTACGTTATTTGTTGGAGCACGTGATATTATTTCATAGCCAAGAAGATGGTTTGAACATGCCTTAGTAAAATTTTTTTACATATATAAATGTACAAATATAGAGTGGTTTAACCATTTAGTAATTAAATAATTTGGCAATTTAAGCCAAATATTTCACTCTTATAAAAAAAAGTTATTTGTTTCTTGATATATTCTGATTTATCATTATATTTTTGAAAATAAGAATATTTATGAAAATAAAAATAAGCCTAATCTGCATATGGCTCAGTTTTTTTTCTGGATCCTGTGAATGGTAATTAAAAAAAATCTCTCTATTTCTGTGTTCCTATTGGTGCACTAAAATATTCTGCAATATGCTTATGCATATTATAAAGGAAATGCATTGTTACATTTTTATTACTAAATCAAGAATGGTGTTCTGACAATACCAGTTGTCACTATCTAGCTTAAATAATGACATTTTTAAAACAAGGTGGATACTAGTGGTAAAATGTTTTGAAAATGTTATAAGTTTTCCTTCTAAGATAAAGGGACTGAAAGAGACAGGGAGGGAGGAATGGGGGTGTGGAGAGAGGGAGAGCAAGAACATACTGTATGTGTTTAGTTTTAACAACTTGGGGAATGTAAAGAATTCTGTGTGAACACTCAAGTTTTAATAATATGGAAAAAAAGTTTCTCTTATGGAGAGGAGGTTGAATTAATGATCAAAAGTTTGGATTACATTAACTTTTATGTTTATATTGTTTTAGAAAGGTACTGTACTACCTTGTTTTCCTGAGTACTGTCTGCTTTATGGATTATCTTCTTAAATATTTTCATTTTTGCATTGAACTATTTGAAGGAGTGGTAGCAGTTTTTTCTGCATTTTGTCAAAAGCTGAATTACTTTAAAAGCTTTACAGATTTCATGAGAGGTTAATAAAAATTAATCTTACTAGATTATCTTTTATAACCAGTTATCTTGCCTAATGTTAGGATGTTATTGTCTTCGAGGAAGTTTTCTCAGCTATTTTCTTATAGTGTCCTAATATTTCAAATTGAGAGATAAAGTCCTTAGTATGAAATGCTTATATACTTTTACAGTTATGCATGTTATGGAAAACATACTGATCGATAATAATGTAGGTTATTGAAGTTTTTCTATGCTATATATAATATAGTAATATAATATGTCTGATGTTGCAGATTTCTCTAATGTGGTAGAATTTTATGAAATTGAGATTCACTTTTCTTAAATAGGTTATCTTTGAGCTATATTTACAAAAATATCTTATAAAATTATTGATTAAAGGGAATCTGCGCCCTGTATCTATGTATGTAGATATATATGTCTATTTTCTAGGATCAAGTTACACCAATACAGTAAAACCAATGGATTAAAATATTAATTGTAAAACATAGCACTTTATTATCTTTTCAGCTTCACAGTTAATTCACTTTGCTTAGATTCACTTAAATAATTTTTAATCATTTGATAGAAATGATACTTTTTCACTTAAAGATTATCCTGGGAATTTGAAGTTTAAATTGAGAAGTTCAGTAGAGAAGTTTAAAAGTAGAATTAATTATAATTATCACTGCTAAAACAAAGTAAGTAAATTAAAAATCACAATGCCTAATTTAAATTATTATCCAGGTTATATTTTTAATGAGTAAACATAGAGAAAATACACCTGTTTACCTCCAAGCCAGACTTGTTCTATGAGAGAATGTCTATAAATAGGTATCTGTTAACAGATTACATTCATATTTACTTTTGTGAACTAATAATTTGTTTAACTGATAATCAGTGTTTAATTATTTTAAGTTTATAACTGGTAAATAATGTCCTTAGGTCTTGCAAGCATAGTTTTTGATTATCTTTATCTTGAATTTCCCAATAGATTGGGATGTCTACTTGATGTCTGTTAATGGTTTTACAGTTTGACATTTCTTTGTTAGTATACATGCAAAAAGGAATTGGTTATCTCTCACAAAAGAACTCTAAAGGATACCTCAGTTAAATAATTTACAATTGTTTTTTTCTTTGTTTACAATCTTTATCTTAAGTTCCGTAGTCACTTATGTATATGCATTTGTATGCACATGCAAATGCATAGACTATGTATTAAAATTTTGAGCGGGCTCATAGTTGAAAGATATAAGTTGTATTTATGTATTTTGTTTCTGTATAAAAATATGTCCATGTTCGTATAAAGTTCTGTGGAATACCACAACATCATTATTCTCATTTTTCCAAAGAGACTGTGCGTATATAGGTTCTTAAAACCTTACTGATGATCGTTAATTGTGATTTGGCTAGCATTTTTCCTTTATTATTATTACTATTATTTTTTGTTTATACTAAACCACAAAATGGATTTAATTGTAAGACATCTGCCTATAAGGAATATGTAAACAATGGTTTGGCACACTCATGGTTCATTTAAATTTTAGAGGAACCTCTAAATGCATAAATTTTTGAGTTTTAAACTTAGTCATTTATGTAATTGTAGTTGATGGCATAATGATTTTAGTAGCTACTATAGATGTAAAAAAATAAAAAGCCAGTTTAAATGAAAGGTAAAAAATTTCATTTATTTGATTTTGTGGTAAAAATTACTTGCCTTGCACAGGATATTTAGCTGTACCTTGTTAAGAATGTCACTTCTCTACTGTTAACTCATGTTTTAAGGGATGGCAGTAGAAATATTGCAGATAACATCGTTTAAGCTAATTGCTACAATAATCTTAAATACATGTCTGAGAATAATGTTAATTTGGCAAATTTTCTGTCATCAATATAATAATTTTAAAATACCTTAAATACTATTAAAAGTCGCATTCACTTACTATGTCTATATGGTGCAGAATTCCTTGTGGACACCTGATTTAAAAAATGAAAAGCACTTAATCAAGATGAACCAACACTTATCCTCTTTTTAATAGAACCCAAATCACATATGATATGATTTTTGGTCCTAGAATATATATTTGATGTTTGATTTATGAATATTAACAAGAATAAAGGGTACTTATAGGAGATGTATTAATAAATGAATTTTTTTCACTGCAATATTAAATGCTTATATAGCAATTGGTCTTTTAAAGGACTCTTATTTCTACACCTAATTTTATTTGGGAATTGTTTTATATATCCTGGTAAATAATGGGGTTTTTGTTTTCTAGTCAAAGCATATTTATGAAAAAAATGTTTTAAAGTTAACATCCTGTTCAATAATAACAACAAGCACCTGAAATGTTTGATACGGTGTTAATTACATCCATCTAATACTGTTCCAAGCCTTGACTGAAGTTCTTAAAAAATAGTATAAAGGGGAGAAAATTCCTAAGAATTCAACATAAGATGAAGATATTACATACATTGTAATAAAAGAAAATTTAATGTCAGTTTTTATACGGATCTTTTAAAGTTATGTGGGAATGTATAGCCTGTTTTATGTTTGCTGTTGAATGGACAAAAGCTTGTGGTCAACTGTGGTGACAATTATAAGGAAACTCCCTTTGAAATAAGGTATAGAATTTCCCCATTATTTTTTTGAATTGTAACACATTAATCAAAACACATATCCACTGAACTCATAATCTTTGAAATGGCAGTATATTGTATTAAGGTGTATATTTTCATTGTGTGAGACTTCCTTTTCTAAATATTTGTTTTAATACAATAAACATTTTAGATTTCATGAGGAATTTCCTTATACTTGAGACAGCTTAGAATATTTTGCTCTTTAGAAAATACTGATTATTGAGGTTTATTGTTACCCTTATTATTGGAGTTCAGGGATAGATTTTTGAGGGGGGTAGTTTTTTTCAGTGGAATTCATTGGCATAAGAGAAAAAATAATGCATTCAGATAACCTATTGGGATGTCTCTGCCTAAATTAGCATTGGTTTTACTAGCACCCCTCTAAGAAGTCTTGAATAGTAAATGACTAGAAAAAACAGTCATGCTTTGTCACATTTACAATTTTATTATTTGCAGGAAGGATTTTTTCATATTGAAAGTATTTGTCTATTTGACCATATGTGTGATGTTTTTAAAGAGACACTGTAGAAGTAGGCTGTTCCAGTGTACCCTCTGTGTTAAAGTCTTGTTAGGTAATAGCAGTTGCGATCTTAATGCTTTTGAGGAGCTTTTGCATGACTTCACTATTGACTTAGGGTTGTCACATTTTAGTCTCTTGGAACAAGGGTTAGAACAGCATGGAAGGTTGATATTTGTGTGCTTTGGACAGGAATTTGAGATGTTACCCTGTTTTGCCATCAGTTTTCAAGTAGGTACGGGTGCATCATTAATCATAGGAAATGCAAAAATAAATAATCCAGTCCCATTGGATTTTTTTATATGAATACTTACCTTTTCCCTTTTTTGTATATACAGTTGAGGTATTTAGGTAACCCCTAACCTTTAGCTTCAACAAAGAAGTACAGTATAAAAATATTACCACAGTTTTCATGTGAGCAGCTCTAGAGAGGAAAAAAAATCCCTCTAGATGGATATTTGTTGAAAAAAAAGTTGTGATACAGAATGTCTTAACTCAGCCCCAATACAGTACTTGAAGACCACCAGTGTATAAAATTGAAAGCACATGAGTTTTGAAGCACTAGAAAAGGTTTGTAATTGATTAGCGCTGCTTGAAAGTATTGAAGTACAGTGAGTTTTGATTTGTGAATGGTTCTATTCAATAAAGATTAATTCTGTGTGTTTGATAAAATCTTAGTGCCTTCAATGAGTTAGTTTTTTCCTCCCTCTGCAGTTTATTTAACCATCAAATATTTCAGTGTTCTTTTAACAAACTGGAACATTTCTATCTTACTGAATTTAACTTTAGCATGACTGATTTAAACAAGTCAAACTATCAGTGATTAGTTTGAAGGGTGTAATTGAATAGATTAATTTTTTGTTCTTTTAAAATAACTAAAATGTACCATAATGTTATCATGTATATTTCATGCCTTCCTTGTGACTTGGAGACTATTGGGAAGTTCATACAGACTAAGAAAATATTTTTCTGTGATTTCTTTTAAATCTTTTGCATTTTAAAATATTTTTAAAATTTAAAAGTGAAATCCTTAACAGTTATTCATGTAAAATTAGGATTACTTATTAGAATTTAAAATAATTTATATTGTGAGTCTTTGGGAATTACATTGACATTTTTAACTTTTAATATATGTTGGAGTGTCCTTCTGTTTATATTCTTGACTTTTTAAATCGTCTCCCTGGATTTTGGAAGTTAGCTGTTAGAAGCAAGTTATAACACCTCAACATTATTAGATCTTGAAACTATAAAGTTACTGATATGGATCGCAGCTATTATTTTGGAAATCAGTGTTTACACATCATGTTCAGTTACTATGGTCAGTTACAAAGGCTTTATTTAGAAATTTAATCAGCTTGATATATTGTCATAATTAAGTTCTTAATTGTAAGATACTCCATGAGTCAGATCTGTCATTTTCAACAAAATTTATTTATCATAAACAATGGGTAGATTTTGAATAATGCAGATTGAAAAATTCTTGTTTAATTCAAGGTAAATGGTGTGCTGAGAGAGCAAAGACACTGAAAATCTTTCTGTCTCTGTCTCTTTGTCTCTCTCTCTCACACACACACTTTTCCCTCATATTGAGGTGAGCCAATTGGTCAGTGTGTGTTTTGTCCTTCATCTAGGATAAACCTAAACTTCAAAAAAATTATTTTACAGTGTTGGTGCACATACCTTTGATTTTTCATTAGGTTGTTTTGATAATCGTTTATGAGAATTTAAGGCCTGAAGTGAGGTTTTAGACTTCAGGTAGATTATGGGCTGGGGAAACGTTTGCAGTGTGATGACAACCTATACATAATGTTCACTACGTACCTATAATTAGTTTGGTGTAGTGGGTTCATCTTAAATTGTCCTCCAGGTGCTAAAGTACTATTTGGGGGTGGGAGAGACTAAATCCCAGTTTTTAGGAGAGGAAGAATTAGTTAGGATGTCTAAAAATATATGACATGTGATAGATGATCTTTATCTATTTAGCTCACTGTTATGCCTTGTTTAGAAACTTGGTCAGGTTTTAGAAATTTTACTGTAGAAATAGTTATTAAGGTTGTCACAGAAATATAAGACCCCTCATAAGACAGGACAAAGAGCATTTTAACATATATTTTATATTACAAGACATTGTATTAATGTCTTTGCTTCTAATGCTGATCTCTCTTTGAAATTTGTGTTATTCTTCACCTGGTTAGAAAAATATATTGCTTTTCAAACAGTAATATTGTGAGAGAATAAGTTAACTGCTTGAGATGCCTGTTTCAAGTTATTCCTTCATATAACAATAGTTTTAACCATTTTTTTCCCTTATCTCTTATGTAGGAACTGCCAAATTACCATGTGTAAGCTGTAATTGTAATAAGGGCTCTAATGCAGCCTAGTTGTATATATGTTCAGCTTCTTTAATGCAGAAATTTTTAGAGTAATGTTCATTACCTACCATTACATTTCAAAAAAATAATCTGTGATTATTATATCATGTGTGTTGTAACTAAGGGGGCCCACTTCCAACTATGGAGGGAGTCACTACAGCAATTTTACATTTTTTTGATAAAATACAAACTGCATTTCCTTACCTTTTTAAGAGAAACCTTTTTTCTCCTTCAGGTTTAATTATTTCTCTTTGACCTAAACTAAGATTGATCCTCTGGTAGCCAGTTAAAATGTGTGAAGTAGGAGGAGTAAAGGAAACTCCAATCGTTAGTTGTAAGTTATAAAGCAAAGTTAATACAGGTATACTCAGCAAAAGGACTTATTTTAAAGGATAAAGGAAAATTTTATAAACTTGCCTTGTAGTTGGGACATGTTGGACATCATAAAGAAAATCTTGTAAGTGTTTAGATATTTTACTATGATATTGTGTCAGCTGATGAATATTGAAGTAGTTTACTTTTGTATATCAACACTAATTTGAAATTGAATATTAAGGGACTATATTATGCCTGTTTTCTTTCAAAGTTCAGCATGATTTAATAGGTATGGCTTTTTAAAATCATGCAGGGTATCCTTACGGAGTTTTATTTTTCATGAGACTAAACGGTATTCGTTTTGGTAGGTCCAAGAATATGATTAAAAGAATCCTAGACATGTCAGTGTTTGCCGTGTGTTTATAAAAAGTTTTCCATATGGATAATAGTGCGTACATGTAAAATTAAAATTACATAGAAAAATATAATTGCGTATAAGTTTTTAAAGACTTCTGTGAACTTTATAATATCCTGGATGTCCTGGGTAACTATAAAGATCTTTTAGAAATGGCTCCTACATGCTTATAATTTTACATATGAATATATACTTCAATTATATAAAGTTGTTTAGAAACAAGCCTGTGTACCTATCTTATGATGCAGTTTAAACTTATAAATAGATTTCTTTTAGTCGAGCTGGGTAAAATGTTAACTGTACTGTAGGTTTATTTCTGCAGTAGAGCATAATGGTAGAGCATAATGTCGAGATAATTCTGTGGTCTGTTATTTTGTAAAATTGCTTCCTTTTTGAAGTTTGCTCAAATATTGGGAGCTGCCAGGGTGGATACTTCGTAATACTTTGATTAATTTAGTGTCTCATTTTATTGCAGTGAGGGTTAATGAGAATATTAAATTTTCTTTTACTGTTTTTAACTACCTCATTTCTACAGCTCTAGAAAACATTTTGACTAATGTGAGATAATGTAATTTTTTCTATTTCAAGTCATTACTCCGAGAAGTAGATAAGTTACAGATGCCAAATGCAAATATGTACAGCAATTTCATTTTTCAGTTTTTAGTGCAACAAAATAGCATTATCATCATCATATTTAGTATACTACAGCATTACCCGGAAAAGCTAGCAGTTTATCCAAGAAACATACCTTTTTGTTTAACAGGTTCATCTCTTATAGGATTTTTAAAATATGATAACACTTACCCCAGAAGAAGTTTTGCTGACATGGTGCCACTGTGCTGAAGAGGCTGTTTGATGCCATAGTCCCTCCTTTTTTTTTCAGATAGAACTTGTACCCTCTGTTGTAAATTCTGCTTGCAGCCTTAAACTGAAAATACAAACCATACCCAAACCTTGTTTTAGTTTTACAGTATGCCTGGAGTACATAGACTTTATATTTATTTTTTTCTGTCAAGAAATTATGTAGCTGGTAACATGTGAAAAGCAAGGAAACAAAACAAAAAGAGAATGAGCAAATATTTGAAGGACCTACTATTACTGCATAGACTGTGGTTAGAGAGCACTCACTGACTCTGTTGGTCTCGGTGGCTGGTAGTGACCTGCGGAGATTAACCATTTAAAAACCAGAGACTTCTTGCTGTCCTCCTGGAGAAAGTTTGCACCGCACTTGTGGTTCTGTGGTTGTTTGTGAGGCGAATGAAGCATTCACACAATCCAAAAAAGCAAAAGCTTTAAAACTCCTTTTTTTTGCAAGCACTATTACTGGAGAGACAGAATCATGTGGTTTGTGACCTCACAGTACTCAAAGTAAAGTGGGACTGCCTACCACTGTGGCTTTTCCCCCCTTGCTCTTGCTCTCTCTCTTTCACTGTCTCTCTCTCTCTCTCTCTCTGACAAAAGGCTTGTGGTAAGGCCCTTCCTGGCATCCAGAAGGATATAGCTTTTTAATTTTTGTGACTCATGAGGATTTGGATAGAATACAAATGCTGAAGGAGCCCAAACTCCTGTAAGGTTAAGCATTTGTAGAGCAGAACTCTGCAGTTAAGGTTTTCCTTTCTATTCCCTGACTCCCACTTTTTTTTTTTTTGCCTCCTTTTATTTAGTTCATTATTGTGTCTGTGGAAAAGAACAAAATTGGCTCAAGAGGCTGTGTGAAATTCTGAACAACAGTGATGATTTACAATAATTTACATCTTTGGATTGTATCACATTCTGGGGTCTGCTTCATATTTGCTGGGTGATTGGAGTCCTTCTGTTTTTCTTTTTCTTGTCTTCTTAAACTTGTGAATCTGTAACTCATTGTAAAAAAAGTTTACCGTTCTTAAGGTCTGGTTGCAAACTGCTTGCTGGGCTTGACTGTAATTGGCTGTCATGAAAGTGTTAGTCTGGAGATTCCTTTACAAATACTAAATCATGTCTGTCTAGTTAATGTATGATCAATATTAGATTCCGGCTCCTACAATAAAGATTTAATGTAATTAGTATCTTTTGTATTACGCATACGTTTGCCTCATGACCATTTGAGGATCTTATAAAAGCGAATGGCAAGAATTTTGACGTACTTTATTGATGAATCTTAGTTTTTTTTTAATGCTTGTAATTTTTATTTTTCAAGGGAATGTATTCATTTTATATAATTCTTTAAATCATTTATTTGAATATTAACTTTAACAGCCTTTGATAGCAAATCTCATACATCTGTAAAGTAAAATTCTTATGTTGTAACTTAGATTGTTCGGTGTTACTGACTTTATAAGCTCAGAATGGAGTGGGTTAACAGAAGCTGTATTTTTTGTTTATAATGGAAGCTTTGAAATAAATTACAAAATGCTGTGTGTAGTAAGGAATAATGCACACAGACAGAGTATGTTAGTCGTCTCGATTTGCTAATTCTGATTCAGAAGAAAATTGGAAACATCTTTGGGAAACTATCTCCTTTTTTGCCCCTTTGGACATGTATGTATAGAACTCATTTTCTTATTAGGATGATTATATATCATAGGCAGAGAATTTCATATTTATGAATAGACCTTCCTGTTTTCATCAGTTGGGAGCAATGGGGTATTTTTCAACAAAAATTATAAAGCCGAACAGACCAATTTTCTAGGCATTTTTTTTGCCATTTATCCACGCCACTCTGAATTTGCATGTTAGACTTCTTCCTAGTGTGATAGTAACTAGGAGTGGCGTGAAGTAAATCACTGGGAGGGTGGGTGGAGACAGTGAATTACAAAATATTATTTGGGGTGTATAACGGGTTTGGGGCTGGAAAACAATAAGAACGGTGTCACAGCCAAAGTATTCCTGCTTCTGATCTTCCTAGCAGAGTTCATTATCTGCTTTTGGTTTTTATTAGATAAAGATAAATGTACAAACACATTCATAAGTGTCTTTACAAAAACTTCATGTGCCCAAAATATACTGGGAAGGCATGAGAATGGTTTCAGTCCTTTATTATTCAAACACTCAGAACTTTTTCATAATAAACTCTTAGTGATAGAAAACCAAAAATACATTTTAGTGTTTTATTTTAAATATAGATTTATTATGCCTCATGGTGTGTGTAAACAGCTTTTACATTGGAAAGTAAAAACTTTCATTTAATGTGTAAGCTATTCAGTTATTCTCTGTCATAAATAAGGTGTACCAGTGTGATCTATATTTTGAATTAATTTCCAGAGTAAATTAAAGGAGGGATTTGTCTATATAATTTGTGGAATTTCCAGACATAGTGCCACATGCACGTACAATAGCAGAATCAGGTAATTGAAAAAATTTAGGTAGTTGTTGTAGTGTGTGTGGTAAGTAAATGCTTTTCTTCTTTTAGAACAAACTTTTAGTTTCTGCAGAAGGATTCTTTGACATCTTACAACCCCAACTTTTTGCTAAAAATTAGCCCCTTAAATTTTTTTTTTTTATTAAGCGTACTTTGGCCCTCCAAATTGACTTATACGTATTTGAATAATTTTTAACATCTGTGTGTCTTTTAACTGCTTGTTCTCTTTTTGCAGGTAACAGTCCTGTACATAATTTTTTGGTCAGGATGATTACTCTTATTACATAAGAGTTCAATAGATATTGTTGATTATGCCCTTTCTTTCCCTGTGAGGTCCATCAAATTCTGGCAGGGGAAAGGGAAGTCATGTGCTTTAAAGTTAGTATACTTATTATCCACACATTTTCCCCCTAAATTTAAAATATATCCTCTTTAGAGCAAATATTACTTTGTGGTAAAAATTTTAAAACAACAGGGATAACTGGTATAGATTTGATAACTGACAGTTTGTTTCATTAGAAATAATACTACATGTGATGAAGAGACTGACTCAGATAAGTTACTGCAAGTAAAGCTCTTGATTATGGATTTATACCATGCTTAAAATTAGAAATGGAAACTATAGATCCTCAAAACTCCCTCCTTTTTGGGGATATGTTAGTATTTGCTATGTTGAAGTAAGTAACAAGTTTAAGTTGGCTGTATAAATTATGTACGTTAATGCCATGGAAATGAAATATAGCTTTGAACTTGAAATCTCAGTTTCAGAAAGTAAAGCAGTTATCTTGCTTCCCCATTACCTTGTATTTAATAAATTTGTCAACATAAGTTGAACTTTTTATATTATATACTGTAAAATTGTTTTAAATGCTACGTATACCCTCATTGTTACTTTTTAATTATTTTTTATTTTCTGAACTAATTATCCTATTTGAATACATTAGTTTTATTAGTATCAATCTTGTGCTCATTTCTATGTGTGTGCGGTGTTTTGGGGGGAGGGATTGTTTTAAACTTCTATTTGCTACTCTTCTATTTTTCTTTTAATTGAAAACAATAGGAGCAAATGGTTTGATGTAGGAATTTTGTAAATTGTAGAAATCCTGATTTGGCTTAAAATGTTCTCACTGATTGTGTGGTTTTAGTAAGGAACTTTCTTAATCTCTTGTTTCAGCTTGGTTTGTGATCATTTTTTTTTTGACAGTTTTTTTTGGATCTGATGTATAGCTGTTTAACTTTACATAACATTTATTGGGCCTTATGTTGATAATTTGAAAAATTTTTGTATTAGTAAGGTATGTATAATTTTACTAATGTTTTAAATTATGCTTATGAGAGATTAATTTCACTTCCTCATTTTAATGGGGTATGTGTTCGTGTATACAACTGCATGCACGTGTATGGTTTTGTGTGTTTGTACAGGGTGTTATTTTGTGGTACTTTTTGTAATAAGAGTATTTTTTCTGTTTTTTTTTTCTCCTCAGTTTGTTTTAATTAAATTATGTAAAAACCCAAAGCAGCACCATGTCCATAATTGTTTGAACAACTTCATTTGGTTAGTATTAGCAGCTATCTGTCTAAATGTGAAATTATGTGGAAATTGGATGCCAAAACAGAAAATACTAAACTCCCCCCCCCCCCCCCGCTTCTTTCCCCTTTCTTTCCTTCCTTGCTCCTCCAGGCTTTTTTTTTTTTTTTTTTGGTTTCTCTTTCTCTGTTTTTACATTTCTATAAAGTCTCAAAGTAGATTCTTAAGGTTCTAGTAGGGGATACTAACATTAATCTTCACTAATGAAGACCTGGTGGCTTTGAAGCCTCTAGCATTCAAGGCAGATTATTATTCTATCCTGATATAGTACACCTCATTTGTTGGATGATATTGGCTTCTGATTAGAGATTTTCTTTCTTTTAATAGTTTTTAATTCCTTCCTCTGTGTTAATTTACTTGTGACACATTGTTTCACATGACTTTAACACTTTAATTATGAGTATTCCGTTTTCCCCCCCTTTGTTCTTTGAAGTACAGAGTGATCCATACTACATTTAATGTACTTGTATAAATAATTCATATTTCTTATAATTATTAGAACAATTCATCTTCTAATGCTGTCATTTTTCTAAGAAGAAAAAAAGGTGAGAACTTGCAGAAAATATGGGAAATATGCTCGTATGACAGCTGAGGATGTGGCTAGGCTAAAGCAGGAAACTACTACCCACAATGCAATGTTACATATACTACCACTTAATAAAATTTATATCAAACATGCTACTGACAAAACCAAAGAAAAATAATATCCCAACTATACTAGTTAATGTACTAAATATATCTAGGGAAAAGTGAAACTAATCTCTTTGGAACCTTTGTACTTGGAGAATATAGTAAATGAAACCGTGGGACATCATATAATACATTGGAGCCCTGTGGTAACTTGGCCTTTGTGCAGTGAGACTTGGTTGTAGGTGAAACTGTCTTATAATGAGAACCTTTTGAGTATTAACTTCCCTGAAAAAGGCACAAAAGGACACCCGCTTTCTTTTTCAGTTGAGTTATTGCAGTATTAAAAAGGGTTAAAGGACATTATGATCTAGTAGGAAAAATAAGTTAATTATGAGATATATTTGTCATGATTATTTAAACTTTTTACCTAACCAGGTGTATTTCTTTACATTTTGTTTTAAGTTGTTTTTTATTGCCAGGTTTGAATTGGGGCTTAGGTTGGGACTTGTCCACTGAGGAATATTTCTTTTCAAAGTAGTTGTTTTTTCTTGCTGTTTCTTTTTATGTTTGTTAACCTACCTATAGATAGCTTACCTGACCAGTCCATATGCTATACTGTAGGGAGGTTAGTTTAAAGCAAAAATGTAAACTGCTTTTATAATGTGGTTGATAAAGATATTAGGATATCTTCTTAAAAAGTCAGGCTTCAATATACTTAAGGTTTCCGTTTATAAATCTTAATCTTCTCTGCTCTGAGCTGTCAGACTTTAACAATTTTGATGGATTTAGGACCTTAGTAATTTAGATGAATTTTGATGTTTTATAAGGGAGGTTTTGTAAGATTTAAATAAGGGAACATAATAGAGGTTTTGAATTGATAATGTATAGAAATTTTATCATAGAGATAATAGAAGAGACTGTCAAGTTAATGTTACTTATGAAAGATCTCCTCTTAGTATTCCAGTGTATGAAATTGTCTCTGTTTCATACCGGGCATGGTATTTGTCATCTCATCATTTAAACATTAATCAATTGTCTGTCTGTTTGTATCTCTATTAAGGATGATTTGCTTAATTGTTTGAAGTATTTTCTCCTTTAGAGACTGCTTATCAATAACAGCTGTAGTACTGTGGCTTTTCTCCATGGATGCATGGTGGTCTTTGGAACAACGTTCTTCAACTTTGACAGGTGAGACAGAGGCTCTCCAGTGCCACTGCTTTTGGATGAATCTAGCTGCGGTTGGAGAAAGTGCATCTTGCCAAAATATATGGGTGAGACCACACACAGTCTTTAAAATACTTATTGTAGGCTTATTTTTAGGGATACATGTCTTGACAGTTCTTTTATTTGCATGCCAATTTCATTGCTATGTATAGATTTTTCATTGGTTTCAGTAAAGGCGATTGTAGATGTAGATCTATCTTTGTTAAGCCTTGTGTGTAATTTACACTGGAAAATACTCTGCGTTCAACCATAATTAATAGTATAGAAAATATATTGAAAATGGATCATTTAGAATACTGATTTTTTTGTTTTTATAAATTTGACAGTATTCCCATTGGAAATCTCAATTTCCCAGAAAGTTTGGTAATCAAAAATTGCCCTAGTTTGAATTTAAATAAATTCCAAAAGAAGGTTAAAATATTCATATACTTTAATTACATTAATAGTAAGAAAAAATTTATGGTTCTTGCTCAGAAGTACATATTTTTATAATATTGATATAATAAGGCATTGTTCAAAATGTGTTACACTTTAGTAAGAGCTTGAAAGCATTGAAACAAATTGCTAAGAAGTCAACTTCTAAATGTATAGGCATAATATGCAAGCTTCCTAGTCTTTATGGAATGATTAAAACTTTATTCATTTTAGTAAACTATATAAAATTGACTCTACATTTACAAAAGAGTATGTTTAGTCTTCTGCAGCTGGCAACAAAGTGACCAGTAAAAGCACTCTTTTAGACTTTTATAAAATATTTCTTTTTATAAAATGGTGATTTGGATAATTATTCATAATTCTTATTATTAGGGACAATATTAAAATTCTTGAGTCCTGGCAGGTAATTGGTCATAAGACTTTTGATGATCACTGAATGTTGGTTAGGTATATATATTTAAAAATTGTAACCAACTAAGATAAGATTACAGTTTCTTTCTAGATATTTTCATAGGGAAAAACAGAATCTACCAAGATAATTGGAAATTCAATTTCCTCCCCACTATTATCGCTATACCCTTTCATTGCTGAATGGTTCTGCCAAGAAAGCACTGGGGAAATTGTGTTCCTACAGCTTTTCCAGAGAACAAGTTTATAGAACCAAGAGAGAACATAGTATACACAAAAAGATTGTTTAAAGAAAAATTTGGCCCTTTCCTCTCAGAAATTGGTTATGTATGTGGATCCTGATTGGTTGCTAGATTTTAAAAAAGAGCTTTATAAATCATTTGTAGGATATTTGGGGAAACTTGAATATGGCCTGGATATTGATGATACTATGGAATATTTAGTAAGTTGTGATAATGCTATTGCACATATAAAGGAAAATACCCCTATTCTTAAAAGAGGTGCATGATGAGTTATTTTCATGAAGTGAAACACAAATAATTACATGGAACAAATGTGGCAAAACATTAACAATTGGTGAATCCAGGCAAAGGGTATACAGGCATTCATTTTACTATTTTTCACCTAAAATAGTGAGTTCTGAAAGGTGAAACATTTTGTGGAAAAGATGTATAGGGATTTGAAATAGCTGGGGAAATTTTATTTATTCGTATAGTCAGTTTTAAAAAATGAGTCCGTATGAATAGCCTGGGCTATACATAGCAATTTTAGATTTTAGTTTATAGTTTTATTTTTTACATTTAAATGCTATTCACAGTAAAACAACTAATTTTCACAAGTTTATACATGGAAAACATGAATTGGAAATGGTATTTAGGAAAGTACTGACTTTTGAAATTTCATATTGTATTACAATAATGCAAGTCTAGACTAATAAGCTAGAGATTTTTAGAGGATTAAAACAAGCATCTGTTATTACTATGTCATTTGTTTATTCTTAACTGGATGCTTCTAAAATGTATTAAAGTACCTTAAAAAATTCATTCACATTAAAAAACTATTACTGAATTGTACCACTGCTATTAACTTTTTTATACTATTAAATTATACTCTGTCAAGAAGTATTTTAATGAGCAGAAGCCTATTATCTCTATATGCAAATTATTTATCCTGAATCTGTGTTATACTAGTTAATACCCTGTCAGGGGTCTGTATGTTTTTTTCTGTAGAGGGCCAGGTAGAATATATTTTTGGCTTTGTAGGCCATAGGGTTACTGTCTATTACTCAACTCTGCCTTGTAGTCTACAAGCAGACAATAAGTAAATTAGACAACAAGTAATGAATTGGCATGGCTGTGCTCCAATGAAACTTTGTGTACGTCAACAGGCAGCTGGCCTGCCAAAATTTGCTCACTCCTGCCACCTCTACCTTAGGTACAGAAATCTGTGGCCAGTGGAGAGCCTCTTAGGAAACAGGCAAAACAAGAGTTTGAAATAATGATTAAACTTTTAATTTACATGTCATGATGGAATTCTTTCTTAAAGTATTTATAAAAATCTGCTTTTGTGTTCTGTTTTTAGTTTTTTATGTTAAAGCTCACATGTATGGCGCTTGGGAACTGTGTTGAATTGAACAGTGCATTTTCATCTTGGTAATGTAATCATTATATATTGTTAATAGTTTTATAAGGCACCCTGAGATCTTTTTAGGGTTAAGGTTGGAATCCAAATAAATCTTGATTATAGACTATTCCCACGTTATCATCAATTTCAGTATTTAATTTATCTAGTTCATTACTAATAAGATGTGAGGAAATTTTATTAGTGATTGTGCAGTCAAATGCTCTACCACTGAGCTGTACCCCCTTATTAGTGATTGTGATGTGCTATTTTCCATTTTCGATTTATACTCGAATTTAAATCTGAGTAGAAAAGGGAATTATTTTTGGTATTAAACTCCAGGACATTTATTGCATCCATCATTGGACATAATATCCAAAGTAAATGAGTTTTCTGAAGAATTCATCTACCTTAGGTAGACTGAGTATTATTTATTGGTTGCTGCTGGTGATTACAACTGAACAGGAAAAGGACTTTTTTTTAAAACCGATAAAGAACAAATGAATCCATATTCTGATCTGAATTTGAGACCTGTAGTGTATTAGTGTTTTAAGTTTTAAATAAATGAGCTATATAGAAATGAGATAGCTTTAAGCAAAAGTTTATGATTCAATTATTGAGCACCTTATTTTATCCATTAGCATTTTAAGCAATTCTAGTTATTACACACGTAGCTAAGGATCAGACAGTTGAAAAATTATTATTACATAAATCTCATATAATTTCATCACAAAGGAGCAACCTTCCACCCTTCTTTCTCCTTAAAAGCTCTGAATCTGTGTTACACTAGTTCATAAACAGGAATTCTACCTCTTTGCCCCATTTATGATAAAGTTTTAACATGATTGCTTTTACACTTTTCCCCTTTCTCCAATAAAGAATACACACAAATCATTGTAAGTAATAAGAATAGCCTTTCTGGGAATGAAACATAAAAATCTAACATACAGAGACTCAAAAAGCATCATCCAGGGTCATTAATGTGAGTTGAGACTGTCCTATTTACCTTAATAGATTTTATTTATTTATTTATTTACTTATTTATTATTATTTTTTAATAAAGTTTACCTTAATAGATTTTAAAAGGTATCACTGTGTTATAGCAATTTAATAAACTAGTAGACAGGAGGAACATTTTATTAAGTATACTTTATTTAAAAAGATAAATATTTAAAATTTACATAGGTGAGATTTTCATCTAAAATTAATAAAAAATAGTTTTGGCATTTAAAATTATAATATGCATTTATTAGGAAAATTAACCTTTGAAGAATAAAACCTGGCCTAAAGATTAGTGATTAAATAAAGAGTTACTCACAATATTTTGCTATCTTTTTGTACTATTTTAAATCTCTAGGACTCTTGTTTGTTTTTTAGCTATCCATTTTTTTTCCAATTAAGTATCCTAAAGATTGCATATTTCTGAAATAACTTCTAGATTATTCAGTATAACTGATGCATGTGGCAGCATTTCTGTGTAGTCATTTACTGCATGAAATCTTTATGAAGTTTAATACTGAAAAATGTCAAAAAACTATTTTTAAAAAATTAATAGGTATTTTAGAGCAGTTTTAATTTCACAGAAAAATTGAGCGGTAAGCACAGAGTTTCCATTTACCTGGTCTTCCTCCCCCAAAGCCCCGTTTCCCCTATTATCAACATTTTGCATTGGCATCCTGTGTTTGTTACAGTTAACTGATAATGATACATTTTTGTTAAGTAAAGTCAGTAGTTTACATTAGGGGTTATTCTTTATGTTGTGCAGTTCTGTAGGTTTTATCAATCGCAGAATTTTATGTATATTACATTATACATATTATAGTATCCTACAGAATAGTTTTCCCTAAAAATCTCCATAAAATTTTGATAAAATACACATAACATAAAATTTAGCATGGTAGCCATTTTAGATACTGGCCTTTTTACTATCTCTGTAGTATAGTCTTTTTCAAAATATTATATAGTTGGAATCATACGAAATATAGTCTTTTCAGACAGGATTCTTTCACTTAGCAATATTTATTTAAGGTGCCATGTCTTTTTTGTGGCTTCATTGCTAATTTCTTTTTGCTGCTGAATAATACTTCATTGTATGAATGTACCACGGTTTATCCATTGAACTATAGAAGGACATCTTGGTTGCTTCCAATTTCTGTGAATTATGTATGAAGCTGTTGTCAATGCGAGTACAGGTTTTTGGTTAGACATAAGTTTTCAGCTCATTTGGGTAAATACTTAGGAATGTGATTGCTGGATTGTTTGGTAAGACTTACCCAAACCAAAGGTTTAACTTTGTAAGAAATTGTCAAACTGTTGTCCAAAGTGGCTGTGTCATTTTGCATTCCTACCCGTAATGAGTGAGAGCTCCTGTTGTTCCACATTGTTGTCAGCGTTTCCTATTCTCATTTTTTGGATTTTAGCCATTCTAATAAATGTATAATGCTACCTCCTTGTTGTTTTAATTTTGCAATTCCTCAATGACAAATGATGTTCAGCACCTTTTCATATGCTTATTTGCATGTATATATCTTATTTGGAAGGTATCTGTTGAGATATTTGTTCTATTTTTAATTTATTATTTTGTGTTCTGTTCTTTAAGAGTTCTTTGTATATGCCACATTTTGTTTATATGGATATTTGTTGATGGACACTTGAGTTGTTAATTTCTGTTACATTTACTGGTTAGTTATTCCAGCAGTTGTTAAGCCTTTGACAAAGATCATTTGACTATATTTATGTGGGTCTTTTTCTAGGCTCTCTGTTCTGTTCCATTGACTTAGATGTCTGCTCTTTTGCCAGTACCACATGGCTTGAATAGTATAGCTTTATTATGTTACAGTGATAGAATATTGGTTCTCCATAAAGTAACTTGTTGGGATTTTCACTGGGATTCCATTGAATCTGTAGATCCAGCTGCAGAAAACTGACATCTTAACAATGTTTTCTTCTGGTTAGTGAAAACATTTATCTAGATCTTCTAGGTCTTCTTTGATTGCACTCATCAGTTTTGTGGTTTACCTTCTATGAATCTTTTATGTATTTTGTTAGATTAATACCTAAATATTCATTTTTTATGCCAATATAATTTTTTTTTTTAGTTTCAAATTCCAGTTATTGATTGCTGGTATTTAGCAAAGTAATTGGTTTTCATATATTGACCTTGTAGCCTAAACCCTACTATTAATTACCTATTATTTCTGGGAGAATTTTGTTGATTCTTTCTGATTTTCTGCATAGATGCTCATGTCATGTGTGAGCAGACTGTTTTATTTCTTTCTTTCCAATCTTCATTCCCTTTATTTTCTTTCCTTGGCTTATTGTATCAGCCAGTACTTCCAGTATGATGTTGAATAAGAATGGTCAAAGAGATATTCTTGCCTTGTTACTGATCTTACTAGGAAAGCATGTACTTTGTCATCATTACGTATGACATTAGCCATAGGTTTTTTGCCAGTGTTCTTTATCAAGTTGAGGAAGTTCCCCTTTATTTCTAGTTTGCTGATAATTTTTATCATGAATGTTGAATTTTGTCAGATGCTTTTTCCTTACGTATTGAAAGGAACATATGCTCTTTCTTCTTTAGCCTGTTGATGTTATGGATTATATTAGTTGATTTTCAAATGTTGAATGAGCCTTTCATACCTAGAATAAATCCTATTTCATCTTTTTTATACATTATTGGATTGGACTTGCTAATATTTTTCAGAGGATTGTTTTTGCATCCCTTTTCATGGAAGATACTATTTTATATTTTTCCTTACTTGTAATGTCTTTGTCTGCTTTTGGTATTAGGGTGATGCTAGCTTCATAGAATGAGTTAGGAAGTGTTCTCTCTGGATGAGACTGTAGAGAATTGTGGAGAATTGTTTGCTAGAATTTACCAGTGAAGCCGTCTTGGCCTGGTGCTTTCTGTTTTGGAAGGTTATTAGTTAATTATTCAATTCTGAAAATAGATAATAGACTTAATCAGGTTGTCTGCTTCTCTTTGTTTAAGTTTTGGTAGCTGTGTCTTTCAAAGAATTGGTCTGTTTTATCTGCATTTTCAAATTTTGGGCATGGAGTTGTTACAGTGTTCCTTTGTTATCCTTTTAAATGTCCACGGGATAAGTAGTGATGTACCCTCTTTCATTTCCCATGTAATTTGTATCTTCTTTTGTTCTTAATCTGGCTAGAGGTTTATAAATTTATTTTATTTTTTTTCAAAAAACCAGCTTTTGGTTTCATCAGTTCTCTTGATTTCCCATTTTCAATTGCTTTAATTTTGGTTTGAAATTTTGTTATTTCTTTTTCCAATTTTGAGTTTAATTTGTCCCTTACTTTCCTAAGGTGGAAGCTTAGATTATTGATTTTAGATCTTTCTTCATTTCTAATATATGTATACAATGCGATCAGTCTCTCTAAACACTTCTTTTTCTCCATCCACAAATTTTGATGGGTTTTATTTTCATCATTTTTAAACTGATTTTGAGACTTTGTCTTTGACCCATGTGTTTATTGATATAGTTGGATTAATATTACCGTATTTATAGCTATTGTCTATTATTGCCCTCGTTTTTGTTTCTTTTGGGGGGAAGGGTTTCCCACTTTAAAATTTTTTTCCTGGTGTTAATGGAGCATTTTATATGATTACATTTTCTTTCCTCCCTTAACATATCAATTAAACTTTTCTTTCCTTTTTGTAAAAATTTTTTTTAGTGGTTACTGTAGAGTTTGGAATATGCACTTAAAACTATTCCAACTCCAATTTGAAATAACAATATATGGTTTTATACATAGTGCAAGTACCTTATAAAAGAGTATTTCCTCCTTTATAAAGCTTTGCTGTCATTCATTTCATTTATCTATAAGCTATAATCATTGCTATAATCATAAGCATTGAGTACATTGTTGCTGTTATTATTTTGACCAAGCTGTTACTTGTTAGATCAATTAATAATTAATAATTATTTATTCCTTGTCTGATACTGTCCCTTTTTTATATAGATCTGTGTTTCTGACATATCATTTTCTTCCTCTTTGAAGAATTTCTTTT